CTTGCGCGGGCTGGCCTTCTTGGCAGCAATGGCTTCGTCCAGCTTCTGCTGCTTGCCCTTGCTCCTCTTGCTGCGCTTCTGGGGTGCAGAGCCCGCCGAGCGAGTGCCCTTGCCCTTGAGACGCGCTTCGACGCTCGACATGGCGCGCTTCTCGCGCTTGTCCGCACGTCGCTCCACCTCGGCGACGAGGCGCAGGTTGCGCCAGATGCGAAGCGCAAGCAGACGGTAAAAGATGAGGTCGTGCGCGGTCTGCAGATCCTTGCTGGCAGTCTCGTACCGGGCCGAGTGGCTCTTGGAGAGCGCCTCGGCGTTGTCCTCGACGAGCTTGCGGGCGACGTCTTCGGCATCGGTGAAGGCGCTGAGGGCGCGGTCGAAGGGGTCGAGTTCGGTGTGGCCAGCTTTGCCGAGTCGCACCGTGGAAGTGGTGGCGGTGCGGGCACCCTCGGCGGAGGACTCGCCCTGTGCAATCTCGCGCTTCTTGGCCTTGCGCTGGGCATGCGAGAGTCGGATGCGCTTGCCGTCCTTTGCTGCAGCAGCATTGGCCTTGCGCGAGGCAGCGGCACCGGCGGCGGCATCTCGGTCGCTGACAGCCTCGACCATGACCGACTCGCGCAGGGCCGCCTCCTCGGCCTGAGCGGCCACGATGGTGTCGAGGAGCTCCGGGTTGCGCACGGGAATGTCGTGTCCGTGCCAGCTCAGCGAGAGCGCGGCCTGCTTCTGTCCGCTTCCGGCACTGGCCTTGGCGGAGGCGAGGTCCTGCACGAGCTGGCTGTACTCGGGCAGCACCTGCTGGCACACCTCGGTGGTAGCGGTGGAAGCGGCGATCTGGTCCATGTCCTGTTCCGAGTTGCCGAGCTGGTAGGCAGAGTAGCGCATCTGAGCTTCACCGGCATCGACAAAGCTGTTGGCGAGCGCCTCGGCACGGCTAGTGGGGCTGTTGGTGGCGATCGCATTGAGCAGGTTGCGGGCGACCGAGAGGATCTGGAGCGCCTTGTCCCACTGGGAGCGGTCGAAAGCGGTGGTCGACTTGATGATGAGCAGGTAGGCTGCGGTCTCTGCTCGAGCAAAGATGTCGAAGCGAGCCGAGAGCGCCTGGACGAGCTGGTGGAGAGAGTGGGACCACTGCTCGGCACGACGCAGCCTCGAGATGCCTCGCTTGCGCAGCTGCGGGTTGGACTGTTCGTCAAAGGCTTCGGCTCGAAGTTCCTGCGAGTAGGCCCAAGCTCGTTCGGACTCAAAGAGGAGCAAGTGGGCAGGACGCACGTCGGCGACTTGGGCGATGTCGAGCTTCTTGGCGGTGAAGACGTTGCCCTGGCCTTTGGCGTTGGCGCTCTGAGCCGCAGCCTGCTGGGCCTTCTTGGGCTTCTTGCCCCTAGCAGCCTTGGCACCCTTGGACTTTTTGGCGTCCGCCTTGTGGGAGCTGTCGGCGTGGGTGAGGACAAGCAGCTCGCGAAGTCGGTGCACCTTGGAGGCGCAGTATCGTCGGTAACGAGCAAAGTCCTGCTGTCGCATGCCGTGCTCGTTGCGGGCTTCGCTGATGAGCTGGAGCAGCGGGAAGGCGATAGGCTCGGTGCCTGCCTGGACCGCTTGGTCGCGGTTGGCGAAATCGATCTCCATGGTGAGAGGGTGTAGATCGACTGGGTGGTGGTAGGTGGTGGTTGATGGCGGAGTGAGATTCGAGTTGAGCGTGCGTGCGTGCGTGCGTGCGTGGAGCTGAAAAGCGAGATCCCGAGTGCCCGCCGAGTTGGACTGTTATGAAAAAACGCTTTGCCGCCTCACTCGCCTGACCTGGTCACCAGATTCGGACCCGATGCGATTTTTTACGACCAAATTGTTGGGAGTCAGAATCAAACAATCCTACAATTTTTGGACCCTCAGCCGCTTGCTCGCTGTCTGTTGACCAGCTCTTCTAAATAAGCAGTCGTTGGGGGCCGTCCCCTTTGCAGGAAGGGCCACAGCTTCATGGCGGGACACGTCGCTGCGGTCTAGTGTTGGGTTGTGCAGTTGGAAGCGCTACACTAAGCATGCGGTAAGCTCCCCTTTCGGCCGTCTGTTGCACACCCCGCATCAGTGCTCGGTGTGTCGTTGAATGCTCGACGGCAATAGCGGTCTCGAGAACAGCCGAGCTGGGGCTGGAGCTAACTTGGCCTGGCAAAGAGGGCTTTGCTGTTCTCTTCAAGGGTCGTCGGTGCATCGAGGCAAAGAGAGCGGACGGCGAATTGTGGAGTGAACACGTTCTCACCTTTGATGCAGCACGGACCACAGCTGCTTGCCGAGCGAACGTGCGACTCGGAAAAAAAAAAAAAAAAATAGCAGAAAGGCCTCGTGTCACACTGCGCTTCCTCTTCTTCTTGCAGCGAGCCGCCGTCGGTCCACTTCTTCCCGCCTCTACCACAGCCCGCCTTTCTCACAGCTCTCGCTCACGCTGTGGCCATCATTCTGGGAGGCACGCATGTGTGATTGAGCTACGGCATGAGACAATACCAATGAAAGAAGTGCTTCAAATGAAGCTATGGACAGGCAACAATGGCACAAAGGGCACAAAGGGCAAGTTGGAGGGAAGGGTCCCCGTACCAGTCGACAAGCTCGCCCTGCATGATGGTGGCAGGCTGCAGCAGGCGGCGCAGGCATGCCTGTCTGTCCCTTTGCCAAACCCCACGCCACGCCCGGCCACAAAGAAATTTAGACCCCTCTGCACGTTCCTTCTCGTACACGCCCTGTTCAGGTCGCCGCAACACGGTCCTTCTCAACATTCAAGCTCCTTTCAGCTACCAGTCGAGGTACTGATCTTATCGCAGTCGCGGCCAACGGTGAGCGTGAGAATGTCGCAGTCAAGCGACAGCCGCCTCTTCCCCCTTCGGCTGCTTTCTGCAAGTCCCTCCTCCCCCCAAAGGATTGCTGGTGCTTCGCGCGATGCTGTTTCTTCGCGTCAGGTCGTGAGAGCTAGCGTTGCAAGAATCGGTGCGAGATCAACCGAAGCACAACCAGGGCAGAGGTCAAGGCGAGCCGACGCATGTGGCAAGGGGGCTGAATCTTCTGCAGACTGGCTTGTGCGAGCGTGCAGCAAGGTTGGCGGCAAGGTGGGCACCGGGACAGAAGCCTTTTGTGTCTTCATCAAGTGTTGCTCTCTCCCAAACCTTCCTGAAAGCGCCTGCTCGCGCTTGAGCTGGCAATGCGTGTCGTCCGACGAATCCTACTGCTGGAGCTTGTCCGGTGAACAGTGCCACCTCACCTTATCCCTTTGGCTCGCGTCCTGAGCTCTCGAGACACGCTACGCTTCGACTCGCCCTTACACCCTCCCCCCTTTAAAAAGAAACAAGCTCGCGTGCTGCTCCCCTCTCACTGACCACCATCACCCATTCGTGTTCGTCCCCTCCTCTGGGCTTTTGTTCAACCTCATCCTCCTCCCATCACAGCTCAACGCTGTGACACACCTCCCTCATTCTCACACGCAGATCAGCTCGAGCTCGAGCTCGACAGCCACCTCGGCAGCCATCTGTAAAAAGCATTCCCATCCTACACCTGGTCTCTGCACTTTGATCTCCCGCCTCCCCACTGTCCAGCACCATGTTCAAGTTCATCGAGCCCCATGTGGCTGCTACGCCGCTGGCGCACCTCTACTCGTACGCTCCCCCTTCGCTCGTCAACATGACCGCGCTTGCCACCGTCTTTATGACGTTTGTCGGCCTCGCAGCTGCTGTGAGCCAAAAGGTGCGCGATGTTCTCGTCTTCAGCTACACCTGCTTCCTCCAGCCTCTCGGCAAAA